AAACCAGTGGCTCCGTCACACAAGCTTTCTACTGTTTCTACATTTGCCTTTTGAAAATGTCTGCATTCCTAGGATCCAGTTCTCTATGTTCTGTGGTCCGAGATTCTCTGTCACCTTAGGAACTGAATTTTCTGTTTTTGATCAGGCGTATTCATTGCTATTTGTGTCCGAAATACATACCGTGGTATAATTAAACAATTAGTATTTTACCTAATCTGTATAATAGCTTGTGTCTTTGGATGATATTGATCACATGACTTTGTAATAAACCATCATGTCGACCTCGCACGCTCGAGTTTCTCTGATTATATTTCGTTTACTCGGAGTCTCTAATGACAAATACGCAAGATCCACGACAACAGAGTTCCGAATGACTGAAGCAGACAACAATAGCGCGCTTACTTGATCATCTTTGCTATTGGATAATTGTTTTATTTTGGCATAATTAATAACATTAATTAATACATAACATATTTAATGTCCTTGTGGTAAGGATCGATACCATATCGTCCTCGTGTTTCCCTACCACAAAGGAATATGTGTATAATATGCCTTTCGTGAAGTTATATTTCTTCTCCCCAGGTTCTTGGTAATATAGGTGCGCCGGTCCAGTACGTGTATGACAGTAAGTACGCGGGGATGGATGGACAACCCGAGGACCGGAGGCTAGTCAAGGCCTTGTTACAATGTGCTCACAATATCGACCTTCCTCACAAGGTCGCAAAGTCAGCCATATTGGTGAGTTTCTTTAATTGGTGATATAAGTATTTCGAACGGTGAAATTATGACATTAAAGACAATATTAAGTATACGACTACGATTGTTCGTCTAAAGGCCTGGAACATGTAATATGAAATCTGGTATACGTTAAACCAAGTGCGAGGGAAACTGTTTCTTGTCAAATACCGATGAATCATCATTCACTTCCAGTGAACTATTGTTATATTAATTATATGTTATTCTTATCTTTTACCTAGGCATTGCATAAAATGGCCCTCACACTTGAGATGAAGGACGCTCTTGTTGGTATTTTCGCCGATGTGAATCGTCCGCCCTCACTACGCTCAGCAATATTTGCACGGCTTGTTATGCAGCCCGATCGTGACTTAGCCGCGGAACTCAACGAACTCATACACGCTGAGAAGATGAAATCCATGAAGCACTATATGGTGACTTACATAAAGAGTCTACAACAGAACGACCAGCCGGACCTTAAACCGTGGGTCCCATAACCTAGTGTCTAATGCCAATTGAAGACTAATAAGAATTGACAGGCATTCACCCACCCTAATATTAAATGTACAATAAATCAGCCCTAAGAATTGTTCTTTTTCAACCGAATAGAATGCACATACATACGTTCATTTTTAAGGCGAAGTGATGCATGCATATTTACACATTACTAATGTTGCTAATTAATATTGGTTAATACATTAATTTCAATTAAAAAACTACTCTAGAAAGGTAAGATTTCAACGAATTTTGAGTAATACACATACAAAGTGTAAGTGTTATGGAAAGATTGATGTGCAAGTTTACGCATACTAAATGAGGCTATCGGTGTTTGATAGGTTAATTGGTTTCCATTCATTAACTGTCCTTAGAATGGTTGACTTGTAACTATTTTTTTTGTATATTGATCCCTGTTTAAGAATGCGCATCACACAATAAGGCCTGCACTTAATCTCAACAATGGTCCAAAGCTACGACATTGCCAGTAAGCGGCGGCTATACATTCTACAAATCTGCTTGTCAATGTTTCGTGAGTTCTTTTTGTTCTGGTCGTACACCGTTCCTGTTGTTGACTTGCTGACTAAAGATTTCGTTTTCTTGCGTTGACGCTTTGATACTCATTTGTCTTCTATTATAATCTTCAGCTTACGAAGTATCTGGGAGGAGCTGATAAACACAGACTCCAGGAAATTCCCTTACGTTAGTCACAGATTCGGAACGCACAAATACGTCGAGATGTCTCGTTATATCAAGTAAGTTCAGCAGATGTATTCCTACTTTTTGCAAATCTTTTTCGACCGATGTCGGGTTATGTAGTATTCGCTTCGTCTATCCGTTCGTACGTCCATACGTGCGTTCGTACTGACTGTGGTTTCCAGGTCATATCTCAGCCACTGTTACACGACTTTGTAGATTTGCGGGGAGCCCACAATCCAAGTTGAACATACATATCTTTAAATTAAATCGTCTGATTAATAAAATGACAAAAAGAAAGGTATAACACAGTCAAAAATGGTCAGCGTACATTGGCATCTTGTTTGCAATCTCCCTGAATGGGACGTCACAACATTTTTCTTCCAAGTTCTGTCCTTCTCGCGGACCGCAAACATGCATAGATAGATATGTCATTATCATATATCTAGAAACTGCATTGCTGATCTGTGTCGTCATTGTGGGCCTATGTACCTAGTTTTAATCGTTCTATTTTCTACGTTCCCGCTCCAGATATATTACTATGGTTTTCAGACAGACATTCTTTTCTCTAGGTTCCCGCTCCAGATAGATTACTATGGCTTTAAGATAGACATTCTTTTCTCTAGGTTCCCGCTCCAGATA